TTGGGGAGGGTTGGTGGGATGGCTGAAGGAGCAGCAGGGTCAAGGCCGAGCAGCAGGGTCAAGGCCGAGTCACCTCCAGGGGCAGGTCCGCACTGGGCCCAGAGGGACCGTGTGCGGGGCACCTGCCTCTGAGGCCCTGCGCACACTCCCGGAGCAGCGCTTGCCAGCCCTCCCTCTCTGCTATACACCTACGGTCTCAATTTCAATAAAACTCCCACAACATAAAAATCACCATTCAGAACAGTTTATGGGACCAGCAGGTGGTGTGGTGGTTAGGGCACCAGACTCCCACTTGGCCGACAACAGTTCGAGGCTCTGACCTAGCGGCTTGCTTTCTCACTTTCCCTCTCTCTGGTCAAATTAAATAATAATAATAATAATAATAAATTAATGAAATAAATATAAAAAAAGTTTATTTATTTCTTCAGAGACAGAGAGACCCTCAGCTGGACCCTGACGCCACGACCTGCCAGTCTGGCCAGCTCAGATTGTGGGCGCCCGGTGCATCCCGTGTGTTCCAAAAGGCTCTAGGAAGCAAGCCCAGGATGTCCCATGTGGGCCAACTGTGCTCGCCACGGCGCCACCACCTGGTCCCTGAGACCCCATGACGCTTACAGGCCCCCACCCAGTGTCTTTCTCATGCCGTGCAACCATCACTGCAGACCGGCTCCCAGCCTCCGTCCCCAGAGGGGACCCCATGAAACCAGCCACTCCCCCTCGCCCCCCGTTGTCCCGTCCCTGGCAGCCCCAGACACGCTGTGTTAACATTCGTCTGATGGCTGTTCACGTAAACCGTCTGTCACCGCTGTCACCGGGGAGCACTGACCCCCACCGGGAGTGACTTGAAGCGACAACATGACAGCCGTCTCTTTTGCTGTGTTCCGTTCACGCGAGTCAGTCACTCGGCCCAGACGACACGAACGGGGGCCCATGGCTGTGGTGAGCAGGAGGCCCCTGGGCGCTTGAAGGGCTATGCACCGCGAATGTGCCTGTCCCAGCGTCACACTCAAACGCCCCTCCCTGGGCGTGGTCACGGGCCCCTTGGTCCCCCAGAAGTAAGGACACCGGGCTCCGGGAGCCGGTGAGGCCGGGGAGTGACCTGCGCTGTGCTGGACAGCAGAGTCTTAAGTAAAGGCCCCCCAGCCAGGTGGAGCAGCCTCTGGACTGTGTCCTCGGCCCTGAGGGCATAGCCGGGAGACCAGGAGCCTGGGAGGAAGGACCCGGACCAGGGAATGCTGCGGATGGGGCAGAGGCCGCATGGGAACCGGGCGAACGGGGATCCCTTTCCTCGAATGTCCTCGAAATCTCCTTCCTCTGTTTTAAAGTGGGAGGTGTCACAGAGTAAAAGGCCCAAACCTTGAGCACACGGCATGGTGACAGCACCCATCAATCCCGACTGTCTGCTGTCGCCCCGCAAACGCTGGCGAGAGCAGGTACTCAAAACGTCTCGAATAAGTGTTCCAAAGTTTTTCCTTCATTCAAAATGGAGTGTGAGGTGTGCGAGGTGGGGAGGGAGAGAGAGAGGGAGGGAGGGAAGAGAGAGAGAGAGGGAGAGAGGGAGGGAGGGATGAGAGAGAGAGAGAGAGGGAGAGAGGGAGGGAGAGAGGGAGAGAGGGAGAGAAAGAGAGAGAGAAAAGGAGGGAGGGAGAGAGGGAGAGGGAGCGAGGGCCCCTGCAGGCCTGGCCCTGCTGAGCCCCGCCCTTCCAGCCCTCCTGCCAGCTGGATCTGGGGCACTTGCGTGTGCGCCTGGCATGTTTCGGGCTGACCAGGTGGAGATTCAAACTGAGGTAGCCCTGGAGGCTCCAGCTTCTCTTGACGAGGCACCACCGCCCCATGGAGCTGGCCCTAGTTTACAGTTTTTAAAGACAAACCCACAAGCAGGAGCGGGGTCGCAGCAGGCGTTAGTCCAGCGAGTTGCAGGAAGAGCTGGAGAGCACAGGGACTGCAGTCGGCGCTCTTCTGGTATACGGAAAGAAAAAGGAAGAGGTCCGTTCCGGTCGTTAGCTTTGTTTTTTAAAAGAATTATTTATTTCCTTTTATTCATTCATCCATTTTACTTTAATTTGACCAGAGAGATACACAGAGAGCAAGAGAAAGAGGGAAAGTGAGAAAGCAAGCCACCAGGTTGAGGACTCGAACCGTGGTCAGCCATGTGGGAATGTGCAGCGCCTTAACCACCACGCCACCTGCTGGCCCCTCCAGTCGTTAGCTCTAAGGTCTGCGTGTCCTTAGAGCACATACCTCATGAGGGGGTGACATCTGGCCTGGAGGAATCACCTCTGCATGGAACGGTGTGCACGCAGTAGGGTGAAGGTTCAGAAGCAGGTGAGCCTGGCCGCAGGCTACACTCACTCCATGTCCTCTTGGCCAACAGGTTTTTTTTTGTTTTTTTTTGAGAGGTTTCCGCTATAGGGTGCGTGCGCTCGCCAGACAGACAGAGAGAGACAGAGAGACAGAAAGTGAGAAATCACCCCCCGGGGGGATGGTCACGCCGCAATCCCTTCTCCTCCATTCTCCTCTAGGGATCTTGGGCACGCACGCACACACGCCCTGCGTGAGTTTTAAGTCACTGGGTCAGGGCCTTGAACCGCAGTCGACTACATGGGAGTCCAGCAACATAGCCATTACGCTAACTGCTGGTCCCAATAAAAATTATTTTTTTAAAAGGTGCATTTACTTTCTTCTTCTGTAAGACAGAGACAGAGCCAGCACCCCCAGCAGGACACGAGCCCGGTGCTCAGGGAGGAGCCGTCCCGTGAGGGTCAGCCTTGCAGAGTGTCATATCTGACCACTGCGCCGCTCTCCAGCTCCAAGTCCAGTTCTTAAGTATTTGGGGGTTGCCCGCTTAATGCCTGAAGTTCGACGGAGACAGGAAGATCTGTGAGTCAAGTTCCTGAGCACGGGTGTGCGAGAGCGTGTTGCAATCAGCAAGAACAACACGTTTCCTGAGAGTGACTGGAAGGAGGGCACTGAGCCGCTCCGGCAGGTCAGCAGAGGCTGGGCCACCCAGCTCTCTGTCTTCCGTGGGCTGCGACCCCAAGGAGAGCCCTGGGAGCAGCCGACGAGCCGCCAGGCCCCTGCGGCTCCTGCCGCTCCTCTGCTTCAGTGAGTCTCACGGGCCTCCAGAGGGTGGCCGCCGGCAGACACTGGGTCGTCGCAAAAGCCTTGACATATTTTTCCTACGTTTTTCTAGGCCAAAATGTGTCATGGCTTTTCCGACGACAGTAAGGGGTGTGATCTTTGGACTGGGGGGTGGCAAGACAAGTAGTTACAGAGACTCCGATACCCAGGTCAGGAATCGGGCTGGGAAAGGCTGGCCCACATGGAACGTTCTGGGTTCCTGCCCTCGCCAGGGCGGAGGTGTGCAGGACCTAGGCTGGCTGAGGCTTGGGGTGAATCACGCAGGAGGACGCTGCTGGTGTTACCCACCCCCGGGAAGAAAGGAATGACTATACTTAAACATGGAAGCCTGGTGGAGCCATTTCAGGCAGGGCCTGGGAACCGCCGCCAGCTGCCAGTCTTCGTGCCCCACCTGGGATGACCGTAACTGGCTCCATCTCCTCAGTAACGACTGGGCCTTTTGGCTTAGGTAAAAGCACCGAAGACAGAAGCTTCCCGGGACACTGTGCAGAAGCGCAGCTGCGGAGGGAAAGGAAAGAGCCCAGTTAGATTCCCGCCAGGGATGCTGCGGCCCAGGCGAGCCCCAGCCTGCTGCCGCGTTGCCGGGAAGGCTGGGGGCAGACACTAGAGACAGCTTAGAATAGACTTTCTGATGGCCTTAAAAACACGCTGAGAGGGGGATCAGCAGTTAGCCGAACTCCCACGTAGTCGACCGCGGTTCGTGTCCCGGACCCAGCGGCTTAAAACTCACGCCGGGCGCGTGTGCGTGCGTGCCCAAGATCCCGAGAGGAGAATGGAGGAGAAGGGATTGCAGCGTGACCATCCCCTCCGGGGGGTGATTTCTCGCTTTCTGTCTCTCTGTCTCTCTCAGTCTGGCGAGTGCACGCGCCCTATAGCGAAAACCTCTCCACACACACAAAAAAGCACGCTGAGAGGATCATAGCAACTAACTTCCTGGTGCCGTGGCTCAGCCCTAACCCTCCTCCTTTTCACCTAAAACCCTGGCGGGTAACATGCGAATCGTACTTGGGAAAGACCACTCCGATCCGTCCTCCCCCTCCAACAACAACAAACTCGGAAAAAAACCCTTGCAAGAGAAAACTAGACTGGCCTTCTCCTTCCCCGGAGTCGGTGCCCACACCCGTGGGAGAGGTGGAGGTGTGGGCACCCGCAGCGCGGAGCACGCTCCCAGGTCTGAGCGCACCGCGGCCGCTCCCGCCTGCAGCCCTCGGGCCGGGCGCGCAGCGGCTGCCGTTTCACGCAGTGAGGCTGAGCGTTCCAACCTCGGTCACACGTAGGACGCGACTTCCCGGGAGCAGTGGCCCCGCCGCCCGCGGGCCGCCCACTCCCTTCACGGGCTGGGAACCTCTGCGCTTGCCAAGTGCAGGGACTGCCTGGGGGGCAGGGGGCGCCAGAGAGCCCGCGCCCTGCCTTGGGGCCTCCTCGGGGCGTGGGAACAGGGCAGCGGGCTCTGATAGAACGCAAGGCAAAGGGACGGCAGGCGAGAACAGGAACGTGTGTGGAACTTTATGGAACCAAAAAGAGCCCCGAAGCACTAGGAGCGGGAGCAGCACACGGCGCCGGTGAGGAGGCCGGGAGCCGAGAGCAGCCCTGAGCACAGCCCCGGGACGACGCCTGCACCGGCTCTTCTCAGCAGGGCCTGGGCTGGGCCCCGGGTGGTGCTGAATCTCACGGAGGTTCCCTTGCAGGGCTGTGCGTCGGTCAAAATGACACGAGCAGAGGTGGTGAGTGTCTTCAGCCAGACCTCCCGGCCCTTCACCCCTACCGCCCGCCTCCCCCTTCCCCTTCTCTCACGGGCTTCCTGGGATGGGCTGCAGTGGGGTGTGGTCCACCCAGCCCTGGGCTCTGCTTCCTCCCAGGCTCACTGCCCAGGCCCTCCCTCAGCGCCTGGCCCAGCTCCGTGGTCCCCGCCGGGAGCAACGTGACCCTGCGGTGCCGGGCTCCCACCAGCGATGTGTACTTGGTCCTCAGAAAGGGAGAGATCGTCTTTGATTTCGCGACATCCTCGGGTTCTAGAGAGAGCCTGGCCGAATTCCAGCTCGGCGGCCTCACACAGGGTCAGGCGGGAGAGTACACCTGCGAGTACTCTAGAATGGCAGCCCCCTTTGTAAGCTCGCCCCACAGTGACGCCCTCCTGCTGCTGGTCACGGGTGAGGAGGGCTGACACGCAGGCACCCGTGGGGAGGGCACCGGCCAAGGGACTGGGCGAGAGTGTCTGCTCTCGGGAGTAGCTGGGAGGGAGGGAAGAGGGGCAGAGGCCGGAGCAGGACCAGGCACCTTGGCTCCAGCCAGGTCCGGAGGGACACCCTCTGCCCTGGGGTCAGAGTGGCACGTGGGAGAGCCCCCTGCCAGGAGAACAAGGCTGAGCGGGGGACCCGAGGCTTCTCCCCGTGACTTCAGAGCCCACCTCTCTTCCAGGACGTTTATCTAAACCTTCCCTCGGAGTCCGGGGCACACACCTGGTGTCCACGACAGAAAACGTGACCCTGCAC